CTTTGAAACCAACCTGCAGCAAAACTTGTCATGGCTCACTGACTGAATAAAGCTTTTCTTTCTCTCCCACCAGGGAGCATGTGTTCTGCACATGCTGCGACACTTTCTGACAGATGATGTGTTCCAGCGGGGGATAGTACGATACCTCCGCAAATACAGCTACAGAAATGCACACAATCAGGACCTGTGGGACAGCCTAGCCAATGTACAAACACAAATTACATTCAATTTTAAATTAACTGTGGCATCACTTAATAATTATTTTATGTCTTTAAGTTTTAGTCCATATATTAGAAATCTGGTATTTATTCCATTTATGCTAAGCATTTCATAATGCATGCTGTAGTGTTTTAGATTTTGTTTTTTAAATCCAAACAGTCATAGCTTACCATTTATTTAATTTTGGATAAATCAGTTTGCATAAATCAATTTGCTGAGACTTGAAGGTTCCATAAAGTAGGTAATTAATCAAAATGAACATCATGTCTGCTTTTATTGACATCAAAGTTATGTTATCTTTGGTCAGTAATTCAATTGTAAGTGATTTCAAAAGAATACACTGCCCTGCCATGCATCAATAACAAAACACTGACAAAAATTAAAGCAGACGTGGTGCCCATTGTGATGGATTACCAATCTCAAGCAAGTTAAAGTCTCTCAAAGTTAGTTGATCTGTACTGAATAGGAATTTAATTGAACAGCTGCCTTTGTGATGTAAGGTACATGTGATTTGCAAAATGTTTGTGTTGTATTCCAGACATGCTCTGAGGAGGACTTCATCTCTGGAAAACACTGTTACAGCAGTGGCCAGGCCGCCAAGAATGCAGTGAGTAAACATATAAACATCCACTAACTGACCTCTTGTCATGCATTTCCTCTTACTGCATACATTTTACATTGTGTTAAGATTTTTTTCTGACTTCATGATGTGGTGTGGTTGCATGTGTTTTCTCCTACAGTACCTGTATGCAGGGGAACACCTGGATCTGACAGCCATGATGAACACTTGGACTCTGCAAAAAGGTATTCCACTGGTAACTGTGAGAAGGAAAGGGCCCCATCTGCTGCTGAGACAGGACAGGTTCCTGAGGACAGTGATGCCCTCTGACCCTCTCTGGTCCACACTGCAACAGGGGTGAGCATACACCTGTGCATTTTTTTTTTACTATTAAGTTCTTTTGTTTGATGGAAATATTTGCTTGTTTGCATGTTTTTAATGTTTTGTGCGAACAAAATGTGCCATTTTGGCCAGCCACTTTCAGTTCAGTCCTGTGTGTGAACTGTTTAACTTCTGAATGGATAAATATGTTTAAGCAAATGAAAAAAACGGAACTCTGTCTTTTGCTTTTGCATACACACACCCACTATTACCTTTAATTTGAAGTTACTTGAGGGTTTTTTTTGTAAATTATGCTCTCTTTTCTTGTATAGTTTCCTTTGGCATATCCCTCTGACATACAAGACAGATGCTTCCAGCACTATCCACAGACACCTGATGACAACACAAACAGGTAACAGGGAAGAGAGACTGTGCCAAGTATAAGTCATGCATATCTTCACCTTTGCTTTGCCATTATATTGTTTATCATCCTCTTTTTATGTCTAATGTAGACAGCATACATATTGGAGAGGACGTCAGCTGGGTGAAAGTAAACACTGACATGACGGGCTATTATGTGGTTCATTACGAGGATGGTGGTTGGGATGAGATGGTAAAACTACTGAGGGAAAACCACACTACTCTGAGCTACAAAGACAGGACTCACTTGATACACAACGCATTTCAATTGGTCACGTAAGCATCTCTGTGTGTTTCTGTGAGACAAGAAGACAGGCAGTGGTAGTTTTTTTCTGTAGTTACACAAAGCAGCTTTAATTAATTAGTAATTAATCCCACCTGAAATAGCACCTAACCTTTTAGATATTCTTGTATGTCTCTAAAGGGCAGGTCATCTGCCGCTCAATAAAGCCTTGGACCTGATTGGTTACCTGCAACTGGAGACACACACTGTGCCTCTCCTCCAAGGACTGGGCAATCTGGAGGCCTTTTATCAGATGGTTGAGAAAAGGAATGAATTTGACATAACCACTAATCTGGGGGTAAGAAGACAAGAGTGCTCATTTAGTATGATGATGATGCCAATGTCGGTATGACATGCAGTTAAGTTCATGTGAGATGACGTTTCTCTGTGTGCAGACGTACATCCTGCGATTCTTCCGTGCGGTCATTGACCAGCAGACGTGGAGTGACAGCGGCTCTGTGTCGGAGCGACGGCTGAGGTCAGAGCTCCTGTCACTGGCTTGTCACCTGGATGACCCTCCCTGTCTGGAGAGGGCACGTCAGAGCTTCAAAGACTGGCTTCAGTCCAATGGCACACTCAAGTACGTCCGTCTAAATTATATTTAAACACACATCATGATCAGTCAACAACCACATAAACAGCATGCTATTCCCTGAGCTTGGCTGGACCATACAATTTGATATTTTGTCATGTCTTAATGTGCATGTCTCTGCTTGTGTGCACCTCTAGCTTGCCAACTGACGTGGTGGAGACGGTGTTTTCAGTCGGAGCTCAGGATGACCATGGCTGGGCTTCACTCTTACGCGCATATAACATCTCCATGTCTGCGGCACAAAAAAGCAAAATCCTGTTTGCTTTGACCTGCAGCAAAGACACAGACAAACTACACAGGTACATCAGCTCCCGCTTACATTTTACACAGTTAATGCTGCCACCATGTGGCAAATATTGGGTATTGTGTCACTGTACTGCAGCCAACGTTTTCTCTATGTTCCAGATGTGCTAAATAACTGTCAGTGAAGGCTCTTCAAGTGATGGCAGATAATGTAGCATTAATACAGCAGGTTATATTTTGTATCTTGGAAAAAACAAAATCCAAGGCAACTCTTCAGGCCAGTGAAGGCCAGTGAGCATGGCCGAAACATGTTGGTGATTTTAATGTTCGTCATGAACTAGCCATTTAATAAAGGCGTTTTAACTTTTGCACCAGAGAAGAGTTGCCTTGGATTTTGTTTTTTTCAAGATGCACTACACTTCCTGACCAAAGAGCACCTTCCTGGATACCATGATACTGCAACCCACATGAGCACTTCATCTGCTGTTGTCTTCAGGTTATATTTTGTGTTTATGCTGCAGACTGCTGGACTTAGGTCTTGAAGGGAAGGTGATTCGATCCCAGGACCTCTCCAGTCTCATAATGATGGTGGCCAGGAACCCGCGGGGACATCACCTTGCCTGGAACTTTGTCAAAAAGAACTGGGACACACTGGTTCAAAAGTAAGTGCATCACAATGGAGATAATGTGAAATGCTATGAAAATGCAGTTTTCCTTACTCTTGTAAAACATAACAATAATATCCTACCCAATATATAGCCTCTGTAAAAGTGTTTTGTACTCATCGAGCTGGTGTGAGCTGGATGCAAAAGCACTGTGTAAACCAGTAAGACCTGCCTTTTTAATGGCGTCCATGCCATTTAATAACAAGTGGAACAGGTTTTCGATTTAGTGATGACCTGATTATACCACAAGCAACACAATGGGTAGTTGACTCTACAACTATGACAGCAGATTATCAATCTGTGACTGTCCTCGCTGTTGTCCTTCTGCTTTGCAGGTTCCAGTTGGGCTCATCTTGCATTCAAAACATCATCATTGGCACCACGGGCCAGTTTTCATCTCCAGAGGAACTCACTGAAGTAAATGCCTTCTTATATCTTGAAGTAATATATAAGGCAGTTTAGAAATTACCAATATTTCAACATGCTATTGGTGTTTTGGCTGGCATTGCCTATATTAGTGATAGTGATGGTAATAGGGTGATGGCTGTGTCTGAGAAACGTAATCTGTTTCGCAGCTGCATTTGTAGTCGAACAGAAATTCTAATTGTTGTCTTTCACTTATGTGGTTTTGTGTTTCTGTAAATGTGTGTTTGATTCTCAGGTGCAGTTGTTCTTTGAGTCCATCAAAGAGCAGGCATCTCAGCTGAGAGCTACTCAGGTTGCCCTGGACAACATGCAGAAAAATGTGCGCTGGTTTCAGAGGAACCGAGAGCCTCTTAGAAACTGGCTGATCGAGCAAATGAAGTGAAAGACAGCAGAGGAAGACAGTTTTTAAAGTTGTATGTGTGTTTAATGTGTCTAACTGTAATGCGCTTGACACCATTAAAGAGTTGACTGTTTTTTTATGAATAAGTGTGTTTTGTAAATTTTCAGGGAATCTTTTTGTTAGACTAAATAATGTTACTGGTAGAAATGCCAGCTGAGCAGTAGTGGTGTGTTAGAAGCGCTGTGTGTGTGTGTGTGTGTTTGTGTGTGGGTGTGTGTGTGTGTAAGAGAGAGAGAGTGAGAGAGAGATTGAAAGAGAGATTAAATGCTGTGTAACTGGATGCTTTACCAAAAAGACAATAAAAGTGTTCATTGTACCTCTTGGCACCTTTGTGTGTGTTGTAACTGAAACATATCCTTGTGTTATGTACAATCATTGTGTGTGCCTGGTATTCATCACATGAACATTTTAGTTTAGGGCTAACACTAGGTGTTATTGTAAAACCTGTATGGTAAGAACTATGAATAGGTTAGTTTTGAAGTTAGACGTGCAACATTGGGGTTGGCATCCTGAGAATGAAAATAAAACAATGAAATGTCCTCACAAGTGCAGTTAAAAGTGTGCGATTATCTGCTTGGTTTTCGTCATTAAACTCATTTCTATAAGGATTCAGACGTGGTTGTAGATTCAAAGTAAATGGTTTAAGGCTAGGGTAAGGTTTGAGGTTAAGTATTTTACGGCTGGGGTTAGGATTAACCTCCATTTTATGATGCAAGGGAAAAACAATGTTCTCACAAGTACAGTAAATATTATACGAGTGTGTGTGTGTGTGTGTGTGTGTCAGTGTGCGCGTCATACGTCCTGGCCCCGCCCCCTGTCTGTAACATCCAATAGGATGCCTGTATTGTAGGTTGATGGGAGGTTGTCAACAACTGGTCGGGGAGGAAGGAAAGTGGCATTTGCTCGTTCGTTAGTTTACCGAGCATGTTAGAGTAAGATTTAATTTTTGAAAGATTTTACGTATTTTTAGCGCACGGTTTGATTTTTTAAACAACCCCGACGCATTAATGTTTTTGTCAACTGAAAAGCTATGGGCGATAAAGTTATGGAAATTAGCTAACGCTAGCTAACTGAATGTCTTTCAGTCAGTTACATTTGTCAGAAGTTGGCTAGTTCCAAGCTAGCTACTACGTAGCTAACGTTACAACAGTGAGGATAGGCTGCTATTTATTGTGAGCGTCTGATAGCCTGCGGTGGGTTGTGGCCAGCTAAAAAAAACATCACGTCTGTTGAGCTGCCGTGAACGTGTTTCCTTGTTTTGGACGCGGGGAGCTGTCTGAGATATCCCACCATGGATCCATTTGACAGTAACAGTACAGGTAAGGAAGGGAGATGGTATATTCAGTAACAGCAAGCTAACAGCAGCAGGCCAGCTAATAACTAACGGGACATTAGCAGAAAGCTCACTAGGAGTGACATTCACCCGAGGACACATGTTTAGAGGGGTGGGTCTGACTTTACACAAGACAAGCCTTTGTGTTTTCTACGTGACCGGTTTCTTTTTTACAGTTGGGGATTCTCAGAAGCTAACTTAATCAGTGTCAGTCTGTTGATGGTCCTGCAGAGGCATGATAACATTTTACTGCACATGACTGTAAGCACAACGCAGGATGGGCTGTTTGTAAACCTTGTTGTTTATTCATGTAATAATATGATATTATTTTAACTGATCAAAGCCAATAACAACTTTCTAACAGCTTAAACAATGTCTGTCTTGCCTCAAACATAGTGTGCCACTTGTCTGTTAAAACACAGCAGCACTGTTTGCCCAGTTGAAGCCTGGTGGTTTGATAATAGCTATGTTTTGTCTTGGTGTGCAGAGCTGATAAGTCATCCTCAGCTCAGCTCAGCTCAAGCAGCCAGCTGCTTTATAACCTCAGCTATGGTCCCAGGGTGTCCATGGCTTTATTAAAACAAACAAAGGGCCCAGTGCACACACTATATTCACCTCAGTGGATGTTATTTTATTCGAGGTAGGTCTCAGCCTGGAAGAGTCAATCACCAAATCACAGTTAGACTTCCTGTTTTTTCTGTCTTTGTAGTAAATGCCCAAAGTCACATGTCATAATCACACTTTGATCAGATATCTATGAAGCAGATGCTTCCTTTCTGTATGTTTTTAAGCAAACTGCAATGGTATTGTGACTCTGTACTTTGCATCTATGTAGTGTGTCTGTTTGAATTAGTTGTCAAACCTGCCACCTTGCACGCATATATTTAACTGTATTTTTGCCACTCCAAGGTAGGGTTGAGAAATGTTTTGAGTAAACAGGAAGAGCGCAGTCAGCAACGTACATGCTCTGCTGCTGTATTTACATAGCCTGAACAAGCTTGATGAAAGTACAGGAGGTGTTGGTTGTTCGCATTTGCCTGCCGTGTGTTCTTATTGTAGTCTAGATGATGATCATCACATCAACTACCTCTCTCATCTGAACATGTCATTGTGCTTATATGAAATACATTTAACCGTAAAACAATTAGATTACAACAATTATAGGTTGATAGGTTTTGCATGGGTCATATTTTTATCATATCCTTCTCTGCACATTACACATTACCTACTACTTAGTGCTTAGCCTATAAATAGAAATTCATACCACAGCAATGTGGTTGAGACAGGGACACAGTGACAGCCCGTACAGTGTTGTTATCAGAAACACTGTACAGGACAGACAAGGAACTAAATTCACCTTGTGCATTTCCTGGACTCTTGTCTTCTTTTTGGGGAGCTGAAGCTCACCTTTGTTTGGTGCCATTGTTTCTGTGTGAACACTGTTTATTCACTAAGTGTTTACTGTCTGTGCTTTCCAGTCCAATCCATCACCAACTGAGACTGAAAATGCATTGTCCAAGCCTGTAAAAGCATGAATGGAACGTGACGCAAAACGGGAAACTTGCATTGCTTAGTGTTTTTTGTTATTATTAAGTTAAGGACGTTGAACATGCCTCTGATTGTTTCAAGAATTACTGAGAATTACTGAGGGGAGAATCCAGCTGCCACAAAATCACATGGATTTTGTGAGACAAGGCATAACTCTTGTCATGGTGCTGAATATGCAGGTTAGAATGTGGAAACGGCAGTAGTATGTGATAAGGCCAGATGATGAATATTCAATGTATTTGCTTTCCTCTGTTTTTGAGCAAACTTTTTCTCTTTTTTTCAATTGAATGAATGAACTGTGAAGGAAATGCAGAAGTTTCTGTCTGAACAGATTTCAATACACCAGTATAGTGTTGCATGGTATACCGGTACTAAAATAGTACGCGGTACTAGAGTATTCCAAACGGTACTATACTGCATTTGGAAAATACCGGTACTTTGAAATTGATTCAATTCATTAATTTAGTTAATTTATTTTACTCATTTATGCACACAAACACCTTTCTTGTTCCTATTGGAGCACAGATTGCGCAAGTGGTGTGTATGACAACACCTGTATCAACATCTGCAGCTGGCGCACGTGAAAAAAGACAAGAGAAAGTCTGCCTCGCAAAGGGAGACAAAATGAGACAACACAAACTTGGTGGAACATTTAAGTTACCAAACCGTGACGTCCATACCGAGGTACTCACCGAACCATGATTTTTTTTGGTACCGTTACACCCCTAGTATTTATTGTTCTAAAGGTTTGTATCCAAAAGGACTTTTCCTTAGGAAAAGTACTGAAGAGTATCGAAAAGTATCGAAATTCATATTGGTATTGATACCGAAACAAAGATTTTGGTATCGTGACAACACTACACCAGTACTTTAAAGTGTCTGTCTCACCAGAGTGATGAACCAATTCTGTGTAGGTCAGAGTACCAGGAAGGAAATGCGGTAGGAGGTTTACCAACAGGAAGCTAAGGAAACTCAGTTAGAGCTTTATTATACAAGGTTTCATGATGCCTGCACACAAGGTGACAACAACAAACCTTTGTTTTAAAAAATGGCTTGTTGCCGTAACTCTCCTGCAGAAAACTCTGAAACTCCAAATACCACAATAACATTTATGTTAACATAAAGTACTGTGTGTGTGTGTCAATGTATAAATGTTCTTATTCTGCTTTCTCTCTCTGTCGCACCTCTCTCATTTCCTCTATTTGAGAACCCTCTATCTGATTTCTCTTCCTTCGTGTGTTGCAGACCGAGCCAACCTGCCGAGGAACATGATTGAGAACAGCATGTTTGAAGAGGAGCCTGATGTTGTGGATTTGGCCAAAGACTCCACTGCATTTCCGGTATTCTTCTGTCACCTTGCAAAATGCATGCAATGCACACCTTCATTTTAAGGACCAGCCCTGCTCAGTAATTTGCATATCTCTGAATGCATGTTTGCACCACCCTGCACAAGTGCTTTCATCTGTAAATTTGGTAGTGTGAACAGATCACAGCGGTATAAATAACGATCAGTTGATTTGAGAAAGGATGACACTTGTGGGTAGCCAGTGATGATCATTTGCATGCTTTCAGCTCAATACATCTTTGGTTGCTATATTATTTTAGATCTGTCAGCAGCAGCTACCGCAGCTATCTGTGGTCAAAATTGTGAGAATTACAAATAGGAACTTCATTTTAGCATGAGAACGACGCTGTATCTTGCTCTTCAGAGCTACAGTGACCCATTTTCCCCATTTAGCTTCTGTCAGGTACAGACATACTGTATCATAAAGCCCCATAAACAAAGTCTTACAGACCTTTAGTTTATGGGGACTGGGGACTGACATTTTTTTATCCAGTCGCTTTAATTACAGTGCTTTTTTCCTCACAAAACAAAAGCTTTACATAGAAAACAGACAAACCTAAGTAAGAGATTAACATGGTGTTCAAATATTTAGGCTTTTAGAAATCAAAAACAAATGTTTGATGCACACTCAAGACATGTTCAGAGCAGTAAAGAAACACCCACACCTTTTAGAAAAGAAGCTCAAAAATAAAAAGGCAACATGTGTCTTGGATAAGAAGGCATGTGTATGGCTTCCTGTTTAACCCAAGCCCCTTCCTCCTTCACTGTTTGATACCCAGCAAACCCTCTGCTAATTTCAATGCCCATTCACATCTCTTATGGTTAAGATCTTTATTTCTGCATCAGCTGTGATCCTAATAAAAAAAATACCCCTAACACTCTACAGTCATAATGATTTACCTTTCATCTGTGCCCTTTGTTGACAGCCCCCCTCTGTCATCATTTTCCATTATTGCTGTCTCTGCTCTCAGTCTCCTTGCAGCCTCCACATATGACATGTTATCCTGTGCTAATTAATTTATTTTAGAAGGCAATCCAGTTATTACCATTATATGGGAAACACTGCACAGCTTAACTTCAGGATAACAGAGTGTACTGTACTTGCTCTCTGCAGACGTTTCCTGCTCTTGACCCAGATGAGGTGGTGTATGAGCCTCGTAGCTCACGGCTGCTTGTACGAGGCCTTGGAGAGAACGACATGGACGAGGATGAGGAGGATTGCGAGTCTTCAGCTCGTCTGCTGGGCATGTCCTTCATGAACCGTAGCTCTGCTCACAGATCCAGCTCTTCCCCGTACACCAGGCAGGCTCCACCCAGGTAACGCACAAAAAAAGAGGTCGTCATTTGGGAAGCTGTGCGGTATGTTGACATAAAAAATCAAGGTATGCCTTGTGGCATCTTTGTCTCAAAGCAGTGCTGCATAAGTAATAATGTGTTATCATATGCAAAGCCTCTGGTCATGTACAAATGTTGGATTTAGGTGAATATGTTTAGCTACGTTTCTAAAATTTCCATATGAAATAGACACTGAAGAACTTGTGTTATTTTTGGAAAAACTATTTTGAGATGGTAAAGCCTCACTGAGCCAGTAACTATAGATGGAAACAATAAACTCACACTAGCAAACACAGCACCATGGGTAATTTCTGTGGACCCAATAAAATCTTTTTCTTCTATGACCTCACCTCTGACAGATTTACATAGAATCATAAAAGAAGCTGTGGTGGTTTAGGTGAACAGCTTTCTCTTAGATTTTTTAGAGAAATATTTCCTGAAACTGCAGCTACCTTCAAAGTGCTGTGGGAAACATTGTGGTTAAAGTTGCAGAGTAAAGAAGCAAAGCCATGTTAAGTAAGATGCGAAAATTTAGAGTTGGTGTACCTCAGTGTAATATGAAATATAGTTTTAATCACAATATAAATATGTAAGGAGAAAACATCTGAAACAACCATACTGTTTAGGAAATCCCCAGAGCAGTAAAAGTAAGCAGGAAATGCCATCCCATTATTAGACAGAATATTTTTTTGTACAAATTGTGCAGCCTTGCCTCACTGCATAATAACTGAGTGCACAGAATGATTATTATAAGGTGTGTTCAAATTTCAAATCTCTTTCACAGTTAGAGTAAGTAATGTTAAACTCTTTTTGGTCTCAGGTCATGTTCACGACCCTCTGCCCGCACCATGGTTGTATGTGTGTTATTCCTGGTGATAGTGGCCTCTATGACCATGGTACTGTACTTCTTACCTGGATGCACCTTCACCAAGGTAAGAAAAGCATTCAGAAGTTCTGTTTAGGTAGGTTTTGTGACAATGTGTTGATAGCTAGATTGGGGCGGCAGTAGCTCAGTCCATAGGGACTTGGGTTGGGAACCGGAGGGTCGCCTGTTCGAGTCCCCGTCCGGACCAAAATATGGAGCGTGGACTGGTGGCTGGAGAGGTGCCAGTTCACTGCCGAGGTGCCCTTGAGCAAGGCACCGAACCCCCCAACCGCTCGGTGCGCCTGACCAAAGGGCAGCCCCCTCACTCTGAGATCTCTCCACTTTGTGCATGTATAGGTCCTGTTTGTGCATGTGTGTCTTTCAGACCTGTGTGTTAATGACAAGCAAGAGTGAAAAACATTGAATTTCCCCTCAGGGGATTAATAAAGTAAATAATAAAGTAAATAAACTAAACATGACTTTCTGTTGATATCTTTGTCAGATTATTTCCCTCTTTAAGTTTTCTCTCATATCCATTTCCCTGGCTGACCCCAACTTTCCGTCCTTCTGCAGACGGGTTGTCCTAAAACCAACAAGACCGCTCCAATGGAGCCAGTCTACCCTCTCTCCACAAACGGTGAACCATTTCCATGGGCACAGCTCCGGCTGCCTCGCAGTATACGCCCTCTTAATTATGACCTCACCCTGAATCCTGACCTCGACAAGATGACCTTCACCGGCCGCACTGTCATCACCATGTCTGTGCTTCACAACACCACACGCATTGTCCTGCACAGTGACAATCTCAACATTACCAAAGCTACCTTCAAGGTGGGATTGGAAGGGGTTTGTGTGCAGATGGCTCTGTGTCATGACCTAGATGTACATTACTTTATGCAAAGATGTCTTTTGTGCCTGAACAAAATAATTGTTATCTGCTATTTTAATGGTAAATAGACAACAATTATATAGCACCTTTCTAGTCATTGCACATAGTGTATTGCCAAGGATGCTTCAGCATGTGGATTGCAGTGGCAGGAGATCGAACCACCAACCTGAGCCATAGCCATTGTTAACTGAAACTTCCTCTCTTCCAGCTGGGTGATGGGAAGGACAGTGACGTTACTGTACTGGAGTACAAACCCAGACAGCAGATAGCTGTTCAGTTCCCCAAGGATTTGAAGGCAGGCCAACACTGTGTTTTGACCCTGGATTACTTTGCTGACCTCTCACACACCTATGATGGTTTCTACAACAGCTCTTACACTGATAAAAATGGAAACAAAAGGTACACTTGACTAACTTACTGTTCTGTAAGTGCTTCCCAACAGCTGAAAGATGTGCTGCAGTATAAGGACTTTATATAAAGCCTTTATAGAGACGATCATGTGTCTTTCGCAGCTAATCTTATGACCTTTGGCTCAACTCATGACCAGACACTAACAGAACAGTGCTTTAAGAATAACGGAACAGTTAAAAACGGGTATCGGAGGCTGTTTTATGGATTTCACAGCATTTATCTAATTTGTTATTTCAGCATGATTATGCTCGTCTCTCTCTTGTCACCAGGGTCTTAGCTGCAACCCAGTTTGAGCCACTATCAGCTAGGAAGGCCTTTCCTTGCTTTGATGAACCAGCTTTCAAAGCCACCTTCCTGATTAAAATCAACAGAAAACCAGACTATATGACTCTCTCCAACATGCCTAAGGTACTGTAACATTGATTAAGTCCTGGTTATTTTTACAACATGGCATGAAAGACACCACATAGTGTGCTAAATGGCTTTAGCACAAACAAAAGATTCTTTCTGAAAATACCAAAAATGTAAATGGACAGTAGGGATGCAATGACACATTGATTTGGATTGCTAAACCGTTTCAGCTTTAAAGTATCCAGTATAATCGATGCAAAGTGACACACCTTTATTTTGAAAGTCCCATGGCACGTCTGTGTCACTGTTTCCTCCTTCCTAAACATTCACTCAGTGCCAGGGGCTTAGTATGTAGGGGTGTAAGAAAATATTGATACGCTTGGGTACTGTGATGTTATGCTCTGTGATACTGAATCAGTTCTCAAAAACACTACTGATTTTTATTTGTTTACGATTTTTTAATTTTCCTAATTTGTTCACTTAATGAATCCTGCAAGCATTTTTATTTTTAAATGTGAGGGAAACTTTAATTCCTTTGTTCAGACTGCACAAAAAGTAGTGCCATGATGTTGGATGTTAGAGGGACTAAATACAAATACAGAGCCCACTGTTCTGATTAAAAAAAAGTTAACTTTTTTATGTAGTAAACTTTTTTTTATGTATATGGTGGTGTGTTATTTATCCAATGAAAGTTTAAGAAAAGAAATGTCATCATCAAGTTATAGCCTTGTTATATTGATTTTTTAATAAAAACTTTAAATTGTATGCCCTCAATGTCAGTTTTCCCTGTGGTATTGAAATAGGTATCAAATATTGATGTTTTTGTAGGTATTGTATTGAAGTTCTTGTTAATTCCAATATTGTGACGACACCGGCAAAATGTTGGGTTTATGACCTAAAATTGTTTTGTCTTTGTCATGTGCACAGAATTCATTCTCTGCACCCCAAGATCAACTACAGCTGAACAATTACGTCGTGTGTGTCATAGACACAATATATAGTACAACACTTCTGTATGTGATGTCACTCGCTCTGTATTTTATATCACTTCTTGTCTTGAGGAAGCAGTGGGTCATTCCTGTCCCTACTGTGACTCGTAAAGTCTTAGCGTGGGTACAATTAAGCTAACAGACCATGTATTGTGTGTTTGCTTGAGGTGCCGTATTTATTAGTTGGTTGTAATCTTGTCATTATGGTTTGTGTTTCAGGCTACAAGCATACCACTTACCAATGGCCTCATACAAGATGAGTTTGAAAAGACCAGTGTCAACATGAGCACTTACTTGGTGGCCTTCATTGTGGCTGATTTCACCCCAATCAGCAGAAATGTCTCAGGAACTCTGGTAGGTTTCACCCAACTTTTGACTCCTTTTTGCTTTCAGTGCAGGTGGTACAATTAAGTTTTTGATTTAATATTCTTTGAGTTTGTGTTTTTGTTGATAAACTACCTGTATCTGTGTGTTTTAGGTGTCTGTGTATTCTGTGCCGGAGAAGAAGGAATACACAGACTATGCTTTGGACACAGCCTCCAAACTGCTGGAGTTCTACAACGACTTCTTTGAAATTAACTACCCCCTCAAAAAACTAGGTGAGTATACACAGACACTTGCACACTATTCCCACCTCTGAATTTTTGTCTTTGCTCCTTTCTTTACACACCTGCATATGCTCCCTTTCTCTTTTCTTAGACTTGGTAGCCATCCCAGACTTCCTGGCAGGAGCCATGGAGAACTGGGGACTCATCACTTTCAGAGAGACCAGCCTGCTGGTGGGCAAACAGTCCTCTCCTCTGGAAAAACAAGTTGTTGCCTCTGTCATAGCGCATGAGCTCGCTCATCAGGTAGTTGTGTTTGCCTGTGTGATTGTGAAAGCAGCAGATGTAGTGAATCTGCTACAGCTAGTTTCTGATCTGTTTCTGATGTTGTGTTGTAGTGGTTTGGAAACTTGGTAACAATGAGCTGGTGGAATGACCTGTGGCTCAACGAAGGCTTTGCCACTTACATGCAGTACATGTCGCTGCAGACAGTGTTGCCCAAGCTGGACATTGTAAGTTCACATCTGCCTCATATATTTTACAGCAGATAAAGCTGTGTGCCTCACTGTGTACCTTTTGCAGTAAATCTTGTGTTTGTTTGCAGGGTAATTTGTACCTAGCAGTACGCTTCAGAGCCTTGGACAAAGACGCACTAAACTCCTCCCACGCTGTGTCGACTGAGGTTAATAAGCCAGAACAGGTGGAAGAGATGTTTGACTCTGTCTCCTACGAGAAGGTACACTTTTCTAATTTATATATACATAGATACATAGTTGCAGAGTTCACTAATTCACTGGACTTACATCTCTGTGAGAAATTCCTCTACTGGACCTGAACCTCAGTTGTAACTGCAGTTAGTGCTCTGTTTTTGATCTGGACATGATCACTGATGCTTTGTATCTCTGTCTTCCAGGGTGCGTCCATTCTCCTGATGCTGAACGCCTCTCTGCCAGGGGAACAACAGTTTAGAAAGGGCATCATTCAGTACCTGAAACAGTTCAGTGGATTAAACACAGACACTGACGACCTCTGGAACAGCCTGACACAGGTGTGCGCGCCTTTTTTCGTTTTTTGGCTCAATTGACAGCACAGTAGAGTAGTACAGTAGTTTATCACTCAGGCTACAGTTAACGTTTAACTTCCTTTGTAATCTGTCAGCCAGCCATGTGGCTAAAATATACTCTCCCTGATATATCAAATGCATTTTGCTGGTTTCATTGTTATCATATAGAGACAGAGTGCAATTAAGTCCTGTCCACAACGGAGGGGAAAACGCTCTTTGTTGACTTTGTGAAGGTTCCTCTTTGTCATTTCTGTCCACAAAGCAGTAGATGATGTCACAGTAGCTACGTCCATTATTTTTACAGCCTATGATTATGAGCTGTGGAATGCCTGTTTTTTTTATATTTGTTGGGTTAAATGAAAACTACCTGATGATTTGATCAAATTGTTTAAAATAACAAAGCATTTCACTTCTAGACTTTCAGTGGCATAATTTCTCCAAGATAGACTGACAATATTGGGTTTATCTATGTACCTTTTGCTCTCTGGTAGACATAGGGTGCTAAAATAATCCTTTGACATGCTGGAGTCTAAAGTTTTCAGTGAGGTACAGGCCTTTTGTTTGAATTTTAGCCCTTAGTTACATATTGTAGCGCAGGTTGTTTTCCCCTCTGATGGGTGTAGTTTTCAGAGTGTGATGCATTGCACTCTATAATGGGTGATCACTCAGAACTGGCTCAGGAGCTGCATTAACAACATAAAAGGCAGCAAATGACTTGTGATAACAGTTGATTATGTTCTAACTTATTGATCCCATCTCTTTGCTCACTCCCCTTTGAAGGGAAGTCAAAGCACAGAATACTGTAGATACAGATGGTAGAAAATTACTATCATAAAGGTATAAAAACTAAATGTCCTGTTTATTTTTGCCTCTGTTAGTTTCCCCTTTGAGTTTGGTTTTATAGAAATTGTAATCTTGAAGGTAAACCTGTTTCACCTGAATTTCAGACCACTGCCACAATTATTTTCATATATTTCACAGAAGAAAAAAATCTAAAAAAAAAAAACAAAAACCATTGAACATGCATTTGACTGAACAGATTTCTCTTCCTATTGTCAGGTCAAAGTCTCAACGCAGCACCAGAATGTGTCAGAGATGATGAGCTCATGGACATCGCAGAAAGGCTTCCCATTGGTCACTGTAAGCCGATATGGAGATGAGGTGACCCTCACACAGGAGCACTTCCTGCTCACATCTGACAGCGCCATGCGTACTTCCAGGTGGGTTACATTACCACACACACACAGACACACAAACAGGTCATACAACCCCATCACTCTAACTTTAATCTGCACTCTCTTTAGCTTGTGGAATATTCCAGTGACGTATGTTAATGACAGCTGTAGTTCGGCTCCTGAGTGCAGACAAATGTTCACTCTGAAGACCAAGTCAGGTAAAACACAAAACAGTAACTTTCAGCAAGTCAGGAGTCTCGAATCTGGAGTACTGTGTCAGATGGTGAAATTCTGTGTGTTTTCAGGCACTCTTAAGGTTCCAGAAAGTGTAAAGTGGCTGAAGTTGAACTACAGAAACACAGGCTTCTATGTCGTCCACTACGGAGATGAGGGCTGGGCTGCTCTCATAGATGCTTTGTCCAACGATGTCAGTGTTCTCACACACGAGGACCGTGCCTCGCTCATACACAACATCTTTGCTCTCTCCAGGTATAGCTGACAATATAAATAGTTGTTCTTTGAGTTGCATTCAGGGACAGGAGAGACTGAGGTAGAGGAGTGTTTTCCAATTCCTGTATTCAACTTTTAAAAAGCTTTCATTCTCCACCTTTCTTTTTGCTCCTTCACTGTCTAAACTCTTGAAATAGACTGGGACGTGTGACCTTCCATGAAGTCCTCAACCTGTTGAAGTACATGTCCAGAGAAACTGAGACTTCTCCTGTGACAGAGGCCTTGTTACAGCTCAATGGTATCTACCGGCTGCTCGAGAAGAGACAAGAGCACCTTCTTTTGCCCCGCATGAAAGTAGGCAAACACGCACACACACACACACACACACACACACACATACACACTTTCAGACATCTAAATGACAAGTTTTGTGAATAAAGATGTCCTGAGCCATGCTTGTGAAACTCATTCAGATTAAGCCTTGAAAATCTTCAACTGTTTGTAAGATTTGTTTTTTTAATGAGTGTGTGGAGTATGAAGTGTTAAATTTATATAGTTGAAATTTGTCACTATGCTTTGGATATGGAATTAAGGTGTTTAACAGTAACATAAAGACTATAGATTTTAAGCAGTAAATATTAACCTTTGATAATAAAAAACATGTCTTACAACAAAATAAGCAACTTTTAAGTTCTTAAATTTTCCAACACAACCTTGAACTTTACTCAAAAGCCCTTAAATTTAAAGCGCCCGCCATTATTTCATTACAGAGTACCTCAATATCATTATTGTGATGATATTGTAGGGTTGACTATTGTTAGACAAAATATTTATACAGCAACAGTTTTGATAAATAATCATCAGTCATGTGGAAATAATGACCAAGTGGGTAAAGGTAAATAATAGAGCAGCTAGAACAGTCTGGTACGTTCAGGAAATTATATCACTTGACTGTAATTCAGCCTTTAAAACCAGGAAAAGACAACACATTCACAATATCAATAATCTTAGAAGCTATCTAGTCTCATGTCATGGTATCGATATATTATCAATACGTTGTCCAGCCCTAGTTGCATCTCTACAATACAAGCTGACATCAAAAGTCTGTGAAAATTCATTAATTCTTGTGAACTGTTTAAATGAGTGTAGAGTTTCTGTGTGCTAATGTATCCATGTTTTTTCTTACATATGACAGACCTATATTCTGCATCTGTTTGGTTCTCTGATTGAAAACCAAACATGGACAGAGGAGGAGAGCGTGTCTAAACAGGAGCTGCGCTCAGCCCTGCTAGAGACAGCCTGTAGTCTGGATCAGAAAGAATGCATTCAGCATGCCAAGGCCCTGTTCAAACAGTATGTCGAGTCCAATGGGACCTTTCGGTACGTATAGCACACAGTTTATTTTTGAGTTTCTTTTCTGGGTCACATTGACAACAACAGCAAGGTGAGAGGAGCAACCCAAACATCTCTTTAGAGACAGGGACGGGAGAATGGCACTTGATTGAATTGAAATGACATTTGAGCCATTGGCAGTAAACTTAATTTTGGTGCACTTTTAGCCTGAAATAGATTTGTATCTTTTTATGTTCTCGGTAGGATCCCAGGCGATCTGCAGCAAGTTGTATTTAACGTGGCTGCTCAATCACAAGAGGGCTGGGAGACATTGTTCGACTGGTACCAGCGTGTCACCTATGATGCAGAGAAGCGTAAAATGCTGCGGGGCCTAGCATCCACTCAGAATGCACGCAGTATAGTATGGTAAGTGCTTGTGTGTGTGTGTGTGTGTGTGTGTGTGTGTGTGTGTTGCTTTAAGCTCCGGACCAAAACCCAATACCTTCCCTTGAACCTGCCGGTTTGGGTCAAGTATCAAATCATGTCGTGCAGAATCAAGTTTTTCAGTGACCTCTAAATTAGCACCAAAATGTGGCAGTGTGTAAAAAAGGAAATGCTTCTAAAATTAAGTCAGAAAACAAAGACACAGATACCACCATAATTTAGAAGTTTTCTTTGGCTCCAATATTTGATATTTGTAGTAGGATTTAATTTACAGTACTTTGGTGCCATCGTTATCGTGATAATATTGTATTGTACATATTCGTAAGTAGTCAGCAGAAATTGTTACACTCATCTTAGTTACTTTGATTACAGTTGAGAGCTCCAGCTACTAAATCACCAGTATTTCAGACAACAAACAAAAACATTTTTTCCTTGTCATAACTCTGTCTGTATTGAGTTTTTTGTTTTCTTAATTTGTTCGTCCTGAGACATGTTTGTAATGTACCACTGATGAACAGATGGCCTGAGAGGCAGTTTATTCTGATGCTGTATGAAAGTGAGCATTTAACACTTTTACAATCCTTCTAGGATTCTGAATGCAGGTCTGAGGGGGTATATGATCCAGACGCAGGAGTTGCCTTTGGTCATCAGCACTGTGTGTAAGGGCTTCACCGGCTACTTGTTTGCCTGGGATTTCATACAAGAGAACTGGGACCGCCTCATAGAGAAGTAAGTAGTCCCTGTCGGCTCAATACAAGTTATCGCTGAGATTGAATTTCAGAATTATTTCACATACAATGATAAAATGAAACAACATCTGTGTTTTTGGCTGTAGGTTCCCTGTGGGCTCCTTTGCCATCCAGACAATCATCAAGTCTGCCACCTCTCAGTTCTCCACACAGGCACACCTCAATCAAGTAGGTTTTTTAATGTTTGTTTTTATGCCTTCCTCAAATTTGGCACAAATGTCCACTTGAACTCAAGAATAACCTCATTAGGTTTTGGTCGTCAAAGGTCAAGGTCACTGTGACCTCAAAAAAACAACTTTTTGACCATAACTCTAATATTCATACCCTAATCGCTAATTCTGAGGAGATTTCAAAGACATGTCTAATGCAATAAAATGATGAAGGGATGACATTTTATATCTGAAAGGTCAAAGGCTACCTTCACGGTGATATCATAATGTCCTGCAAAAACACTTTTTTTTGGTCATTATTCAGCATCATAACTCAGGAACAGAAGGGGAGACATTTGGTCAGATACTGAATTGGTGACACATTACTGTGCTGATTGTTTAGGTCCTCTGTGCTCAAGTCGAGGATGTGTGTGAGGCATCCATGTTATAGAATTTGTAGCTCCTTTGCAGCAACATCCGCATTTGAAGCATTGTCTACTGTCATGGCCACATATGAGTGTGGACAGACGTGGACGTTAAGTGCAACCTGACTGGTTGGCAGAGGTATACAAAAGGACTTTTTTTTTTCTAATAGAATAACATGTAATTCTGCTGCGTATTTGATGGTCTGTGCGCTTGTTTGTGGGGAGATGGTGACTGTTTACAGAATTCTTTTAATGTCCTATGCCGAATGACCTGGCTAACACCTCAGCATGTGTGTGTGTTGTGCAGGTTCAGAGTTTCTTCTCCAGTCTGAATGAACGTGGCTCTCAGATGAGGAGCGTGCAGGAAGCGTTGGAAACCATCAGGCTCAACCAGCGCTGGATGGACAGGAACCTGGCCGTACTCCAAAAATGGCTGTAATACAGGCGCTCCATCCAGTCTCTGCCCCACTGACAGGCAACAGGGGTGTGTCGTCAAGACAACAGCAGCGTTTGCACTATAGTAAGACAGTGTCTCTTAACTCCCTTTATCCAGGCCAGAGTACTAATCACAGCCAGAGGTTGTGCTCTACCTGGGTGGACAAGGCGTTAGATCTTCTGAGATTGGTCCTGTGAGTTGTATTTGCTAGCTCAGGGTGGCTCTGATCATGTGTCTGACAGGAAGCAGTCGGATGCAAACACACACTCCTCACACTTTATGCTGTTGACCAAACCTCTCCTTTGTGGCTCTCATCTAAACCTCATGCCTGAGCAGACAGTCATTCTTCACCCACACTCCTTTCGCTCAGCCTGCTCTCAAGCAGTCAACTGTACGAGCTGTGTAACGGCCACTTCAACAAGAGCAAGTACGAAGAATGTCAACATTACTGTGTTTGTATGTTTCGTCAGTCAGTCCCGGACTTTATCTCAAATCTTTGGATATATGTTGATGCAGCTGTCAGGGATTTCTTAGTGATGAGAATTTGAAATCACAGGTATCCTAGAAAGGAACTATTCTTTAAATTAACCTTGTATTGCCGTGTAATGAAACTTAGACACTCATGCAACCTGAAGCTTTGCTATGTTTGTCATGATTTGGCTAGAAGATGGGTTGGGTAATTGATGGATAGCTTAAAATACCAAACTTGTGTTGCCATCAATTGAATGTACTGAAAAACCTTCCCACTGTGTACAGTAGATGGCGTACTGTACAACAGCGCAGGTTTAAATCAACCAATGTGTCTTAGTTGAGAGCAGACAGTGCACGCTGGAGCCAAATGTTTCTTTCTCCATAAGCCCAGTTTAGCTCCGATCACCAGGTTTCTTTCTGATAGCTTTCTGCCTGCAGTGCAGTCGCCGCACACGCTCATTCTTTAACACGGTGTGCTTGTAAACTTGTAATTATAATGTAAATATGCTCAACCCTACAGCATTTACCCCTGCGAGTTTGGATGTACTGTTTTAAACATCTTGACTTTTAATATTTTAGTATTTGCTTTGTGTCATGTATATAGAATGTAAAGAGGAAATGTATACGTAGAATTGACCGAGAGTCTTGGTCAAATACTTTCACTGTATTTCTTGATTGAGACCACCCCAGGGAGGTTGTTTGCTGACGAATGTTTGTGTTTTAAGGGCTAATGTGCATATTGAAGATACAAAGTGTAAAGAAGAACATTTATATTGGGCATGACTAATCTGTCCAGTAAGCTGCTCGTCAGCCAAATAAAAACACATAAGGTTTAGAAGTTACTCCAATGTTACCCGGTCATGTTGCTCCTGAGAATGAGGGGTAGCTCATCTATTTATTGAGTGTGTCTAAACATGTTTCCAAGATTTTATTTGAATACAGTTGTACACTCATCCCGAGCTTTATTTTATGTGGTACTGCGTACTTATCCACTCCATCACTGTCGTAAATATTCAGGAGAATTGAGTAAATATGGGAGATTTTATTTCCTTTTTATCCCTTGCATCTTCATGAGACTTTCATCTTTGCTTTTTATCATCTTTGGAAGTCTATTTGTCTCATTTATGTCCTCAAAAGTGTCTCAAATGCAACACACATTGGTTAAATCCCTGGTACTGTTACCTCTTCCCTGTGCACAGGTGGGAAACCTTTAAAAGGCTCATGTGTTTGTTGCTGCAATGGCGACCCCTACTGGTTGGTTGAAGTAACTGCCAGGAGGAGTGGGAGCAAGGAGACCAGTGAATGTTAGGGATTATTGTTGCAGTGTAAAGGATCCCAGCACAGAGACTTGTGTATTCCAAACTGGGAGTCTGAATCTGTCTAAGGGTAGCAGGAGTATTGCCATTGACTTGTTCCACTCAGTCAGACAGTGCAAATATTCATCAAGAATTTGGCATTTGAGATTATGCCTTTAAATACACATCTAATGCTTTACGCCCTGGCTAATTGTGGATCGTACCATTTTACGGTGAAAAACTTTTTCCAGCTGCCAGCAGTGAGATGAATTATTCAGCTTTATTGAGACTCTGGGACTTTGATGTTCCAACATATTTTAGTTAGAGAGTAACTGTTTCATGTGAAGTCAGTTGCAATAAGCTTTAAGAGATGAGAATTGCTGATGTCATTCAGGTACCAGGTTCAGATGAAGTCGTTGAGTCAGTGATGTGGTGAGAGGATAGTACCACATGTGCAGTAAAAACCCAATCAGATGTTTTTTTGTTTATGCACTGGGATGAAATGCTGCAGATGCTTTTAAAACTGTGTTGCTCTTTATGTGAATAAGATATAAATAAAAGTTGTTTTATGAAGATGTTGGATTTTCTTTTTTTATTTTATTGAAATGCAAAGAGAATACGTTAGTTTTTATTTCAAATGTGAAAATAAATAGAAATAAAAATGGAGATAAAAATATTTAAGTATCAAAACAAAACAAGAATACCCAGCAAACATATCTGGTAAACAATATAAGTATTTCATGTCTGAAAAGGAGCAGGAAGAACTGAATACTTATCAAATCCTGCCCTCTTTTTGACTCATTTATTTTATCATTAACCTTAATATTAAATATGAATATTCTCACTTTCTGCTGCAGCGTTCACCATACACACCTCAATCAAACCCATTAAAGCAATATAAAACTTTAAAAATACAACAGTAAAAAAAGTGTCTATGACAGACAACTAAAGATGATGCAAAACAATGTGTGGCAGATTCTACATGCTGGTGAGCCTGCAGCAATAAAAGGAGGTGCTTTAGATAAAGTTGCACAAAAGAGCCTGTAAAACCTCCAGCAGGGTCACTAATTGACCCCCAAATTTCCTCTGGAGCAAAACCTAGAACTAAAAATGAAAAATCTAAGCAGAGGATTGATAACTCTTCCTCCTCATTGAGCTTCAATCAAGCGCCTCTTCATTGAGCAGGCTTGGAGAGAGTATTCTGGCCTGCACACAGCAGTACAGGAGAGTTTCTAACTAACAAGGGAGTGTTAGCTATTTTTACAGTATAGCTGAGTGCTTTCAACAAACAAATCTTCCATTACATCAACTCTTGCACTTCCTCATGTGTCTTTCGGTCAAGAACTGGTCTTGTCTGTCACATACACACTAACAGGTGACCTATAGATGATCTCCAAAATGAGGAAATGAAACAGCACATAGACTCACACTTCAATTTTCAATTTTTCCAATTTTATCTTCTCTTGCTTACTGCTAGGAGACAGTCACCGTCAGAACACTACATACACATACTAATACAAATGATATGAAAAATGTGATAGCTGTTAAATCTGATGAAAGCACACCTCTACTTTTAACCTTACAGTTCTTCTTAAGTACACTTCTTGCAATGCAAACATCTTATATTTTAAGCAACAGGTGCAGTTAACTGCTTTGTCATTACTATGATCTCCTTCATCATTCACTACTCTTCATCAACATTTCCTACACTACAAAACCTTTAAATCACACCCACTGCGAGGATGCTTGCACAGTGGAACGCCTTTTACATGATGCTTCTCAGTTTTACCACCAGAGGTCTTTCAAGCTCTTCCGAAAACTCACTGGTTCCCATTCATGTTTTCATTTGTTTGGATGTTATATGACATAAAATGTGGATGTAGATTGCTTTGTGTGTGTTGTGGGAATGATCTTTTTAAGTGACTCAAAGCCATAATTGAAACCATCACTTAAGTTCACGTCTGTAAAAGACAATAAATCATTCAGTGTAGTTATAAAAGGGGAAGTTTCATGCTAAACAATTGCAGGTATTTGTGTATTTGAACAAAGTTCATTGTGGCAAACTGTTCCCTCTATGTGCGTGTATTTGTATGTTTTAGAAAATCTGTTTTGTGCCTTGCAGACTTGTTTTGGCCGAGGGCCACACAGCTGGAAGACATCATAGTGTCAGTATTTTTACCCTCATACTTTCTTTCTTAGCCAGTTAACTGAAGTGCACAAGGTATAAAGACAATTGTGGGCTTTGTATTGAAATAAAAGAAGTCCAAACCATGATAAATGAATAAGCTCTATGCTGTGTGAGCTCTGACAGACACCTGGCCCAATATATTGTCTTTGTTTGTTTGGAGCAGGAAGATGCCATCCATGCACTGAATGGTTTCTGTTACTTTACCCTGAATGGGGGCCATGAACCGTATTTTTTGTGGACTTTTGACCCAACATTATTTTTTATTTGTTAGGATTCATAGCACATTGTAGCATTGGGGTACAGAGCCATGATGAGACACTGTTTTTTTTTTTCTTTTTTTTTAATTACCTTTTTTGGAGCTATTTTTGAAAAAAAAATATCATATCTAAATATTTTTTCATTTCATTTTATTTTATTTTAATGAATGATTATCAGATTAAAAATGGATTAAATCGAGTAACCACTTTTGTTTGAGTGTCCCAACTATTTGCAATCTTAAATTTGTATGTAATCCCTTAACACACACTTAATATACAGTTAGTGGTTTGTATAGAGGGATTGAGCTCTGTTGTTTTATTTATATCCTCAAGTCTGTAAGCCTTGTGAGGTGTCATAATGTTGGTGTAAGTCTGTTTAACATTAAAATCAGATCAAAATACTCAACAAACTTATAGCCAGGCTTCATATCTTCTGCACAAAAATCCCAAGCAACTCGCAACTGTGGATGTCAGATAAATATTATGTAATAAAAAGCAGAGTTCTGTACACATTCATTGAACCAAAACTCAAGACACATTAAATATAGAATGTCCCTTCTGACATTCATTGGATTAAAAGTTTAAAGTCTCACCAAAAATGAAAACTCTACTACCAGTATTTTGAAACTGAAGTTGAGTGCAGTACTTGTGCATACGCACTTAGTTACGTTTTGCTCAATATTTTTACATCTGGGCGGTGTTGACGTCTGTCAGCTGATATAAATCTTTTTTGTTACAGAATGCAGACACCAGTAAACAACATTATCAGAACAATCACACATGAGGTGATCTGCAAAGTACAATCTTCATGTGTACATTGAGATCAGCAAAACATGTAGGGTTATGTGGGGTTTTGGGACATCAGTGAAAGTATAATAAAGTATACTAAACTATACAATGAATAAACTATACTACTAAATCCACTTCACATTAATCAAAATCAGCCCCCTGGGTAGTTGAAATATGGCTAAACATCTAGTTTAAACAGCTATTTTGAATTTTGAAAATGTTAGAAATGGATTCAGCATCCTTAGTAACTCCCCCAAACCACTCCAATACCGTACATATTATTGCTGAAATATAGTTTATAAAGGTGATTATGCTAATCAATGCTAATTATGCTGATTTCTGTTTTTTCTGATTTGGGGTATAGTGACAAATTTAGGCCGAAGCAAGTGTAATTTCCAAGACAGAGAGGTCAGCTTGGGCTCAAATTAAAGCTTATCAACTTGGGAATTTTTCTATGTACAAGTGAAGCAGTGATATTAAACACAAAGTGATAAAAAATGAGAATTTTTTATGAGAATTTGTCAAACGGACAGTCCTTCTTTTTGTATTTTTGGGGATGTTGTGTGTGATATTTTGAAATGAAATGGCAGCATGCCTCCTGAATCTTATTTGCTGCTCTCCCCTTTGTGTCAGGATACTCCTTCCCAAATTTCATACTTGTATGACTATTCATGCCATCGTACTGCCCTAATATTTGCATTTACATCATTTTGCATGGCATGGCATGTCCCAAAAAGGGGTTTTGGGCCCCCTGAGGCAAAACAGCCCGAGTTAGGGGTGCTCGTTATCAACTTGTGATGGCCCAAGGTTTAGGCTAACAGGAAATGATAATGAAGAAAAGGTAGCAGAGAACATCATGAGGGCTGGAGCTCATGTTTATGCACACATCCATATTCTAGGACAGGAGAATAAAGGACAGAAATGTTACAAAGCAGATTAGGTTGTTCTATCAGGCCATATCAGTCCAACTTGGTCTGGACACGTACACACTGCTGATCACCAAGAAGATGCTAAATACATATAGGGCAGTGGGCCAAGAGTTGCACACCTATTCTATCAATTAATCAAACAATCTGCAAATCACTGTTGGCCACATTCAGTCACATTCTTTGTTAAAAGCACAACAACCATTTAAACTATGCAGCCCTGCAAAATGGAAATGTCAAGTTGACATTATCAGCCGAGCTGGTTACGATCACAATCATCTGCCTCTGCAGCCTCAGATTGATCTGTGTGATCCACTGCTGTTGTGTTTTGAATGAGGAAGTGTGAACAGCAGGTTAGCTGGGTGACTCGCTGGAATTTGCTGAAGGCTTCCTGTCCGAGAAAACATGTTTGCATTTTAAACAGTTACATTGAGGTGGTATTTCTAAAGGTATTATTAATCACCTGGACTCCCTTGTGTCCTCTTCATAGACTTTGGTTTTGTCTTCACACCATTCAAAGTGTTTGGGTTTAGGGTTCACAACAACACATTCCTTCATCCTCAACTCTTCAGACTTTTTCTCTATTTTTCTCTTTCAGCATTTTTTTTTCTCCTTTGCTGTGAAATAGTGGCTATATATCAGCAACATGAAAAGAAATGTGGCTGCTTCAGTTTCTACGTTTGTTGAGAACTAGTCTGTAGGTGTTTAGTGTTTTAAGCCAGCAGAGTCAGCTGGAGATGTTAGGATATGTTCAGTGAGTATGTTCCACTCTGGTGACTGGAGGTACAGCCTTGACCCTTGTGATTAAAACCACTGTACAATTTTGGGTGTAACAGTCAAGAATTCTCCTCAGTAATGATGTTGTTTTGTTTAAAGTACTTAGGTGTGAAGCTTTATGATGGGATTAGGTTATCTTTATTGGTAAAGAGCTGAGTTTGGCTGTTTGTGCCATTTCAGAGTTGCTGGTTTTGTCATTACACTTATGTAACAGGATGACATCTCATTATGAAATGATACTGCATTCCTGATCCCAGGAGGCAAAGGTTTTTTCCCTCTGGCCTTCTAACCACTTTTACAAAGGCAGCCCTTCAGCCAGTCGTCTGATAAGACTGGCTAAGTCTCTTTGGTTTTGTAATAGCCTGCATGTTACTGACATGTTAGACAAACATGGCTCACATTACATAACCTCACCTACGTAACCTATTTGACCAGACACTGCATAGTTACTGTGCTGCACCACCACACATCTCTCTGTCTACAGTACGTCTGTGGGCTCTGGACTCGTATGAATGATATTGTTACAGTTCAGCATGAGCTAGGGCTGCACAAAATTTACCGTCAGTTTAATTAAGCCCAAAAGTCCCCCAACTGGGGGACTTTGAGAGCGACTTTGCAAACACAGTGTGACAATGC